TAGTTTTAGTTTTTAATTTTGTAGTTTAAATGCTTTATGCGTTTAAATACTTAAGACTTACCCTTATATTCTATTTTTGTTCTCAACGATTTTTAAAAAGTATTTATTTATATATTAAAGTATTTTTTCACTTTTCAGCACTGGTTGATGCTTACAAAAATCTAACAGAAGAAAAGAATGTTCTTGAATCTACTTTAAAAACATTGTCTGCTAAACCTTCTCCAAAGAAATGTTTGTTAAAGAAATCATCCATTGCAAGCAATTTTTCTGACCCACTTGGTGTTAGTTCTGATAACCTCAATGGAAGTTCTGACAAGTACAATAGTAATATATATATATATATATATATATATATATATATATATATATATATATATATATATATATATATATATATATATATATATATATATGTATTTATGCATCATAAAGCTTTATTTAAGAAATTATCATTAATACCAATTGCTTTAGCACTATTGAGGATGAAGCGACACAAGATATTGCAGAAGAAAAAATAGCTGCATTAAGCAGTGCTCTGCAATCAGTCACTGAAGCCAAGGCTAAAATGGAAGCATCTTTTCAGGCAGACAAAAAATTAACTTTGGTACTTTATGTTTTAAATTGTATTTAAATAAATGAAGTTTTTCAAAATGTTAGTTCATTAAATTTTGGTTTACTTTTAGGCTGAACATACAAACAGGTTATCTGAAGTTGAGCTTGAAACGCAAAAGGCTTACAATCAAGTCAATGAAGTAATGCTTTAGTCTCTTTTGAAAATGATTTTTATTCTCTTGGGAAATAGTGCTTCAATTTTAAATTTATGCAACATATTCACAATTAGAAAAATAAGTTTTGATTATAGGGGAACTAGGGGCATAATCGCCCCCATAATGTTTAGATTGATGTTATATGAAAATAAAAGCGAAATATGTGTTTTTTTAACAGTTTATTTCAATAACCACATTATTAAGCTTTTTAATTGTTGCAATTAGATTTTTAATTGTTGCAATTTTGAAAATCTTTTCACACAAAAAGTACACTTTTTCCCCCATTGTGAGGCACAACCGCATCTCACAAAAACCGTTGAAGGTACACTTTTCATAGTATATTTTTAAAAAATTAAGAAATGCGCAATTATATACCTACAATATATAATAATATCAGATATACATATATATGACATTGATTTATACTCTTAGCTGTATATTTTAATCAAAAACTCGTTTATAAAAATTAAATAAAAAAAATACGAAATCTAATTTCCAACATCTCAAAACAAAACTATTGTTTTTGAACTTTGATGATTGTACATATTATTGTTTGTAATTACCAAACTTTGACAAATATCAAAAGTATGTGGTTGTGCCTCCTGTGGGTCTATGTGGTTCTGCCCTAGAAGAGATTTTTTAAAAAAAATACAGTTTCATAGTTTGCTTATTAGGTTATGTTGATATCAAAAATGGTTTTCACTTAATGAAATAATGCTGGTAACGCATATCTTTAAAACTAAAATCAAATATTGCTTAATCCTCAAAAGAAAGGTCTGGAATATTTTGATGTAAATATAATATTTTTATCAAAATAAACATTATGCACAACTTCTCTGAAACGCATCAGGCACTCTTTTTGATATAAGCTAAATGAAGGAAACTGTTTTACCAACGCGTGATATGTTTTTTGCCATATTAGATAACATTTTTCAAAGTTAAATGTTAAAAAATGGCTGTGCCTCCATATGCGGTTATGCCTCCACTTCCCTTACTACTTTTCAAAGTAAAACTTTTTTTATTGTATAGTTTTTTTTAGTATTGTGTTATTTTTATAGGAGTTACCAAAGTTTTATCTTATAGTTAAAACTTAAGCTGCGCACTGAACAACAAGAACGTGAAAAAGAACAGGAAGTATACAGTTCAATGCTAAAGGAGCTGCAATCTTTGCTTAATGTTGAAAAGCTTGAAAAAGAACAATTACGAATGCAATTAAGTGAGGTAATTTTTCACTATCTTAAATATCATTTAATTTTTATGTTATTTGTACAAAGGTTGTTGCAAAGTTAAGATCATTAAAAAACAAGTTTGTATTCTTTACTTTAGCATTTACAAGTTACTATTTTTGAGTAGTTAATTTATTTTTTTATTTTACTTTTATTAATTTTGGTTAAATATTTGATTATTTATTAATATATATCCCTACGGGCATTTGTTTTTAAAAGTTTTGTTCTAAATTTATTTAAAATGTCTTTTAAACATTTTCTAAACGTTCTTTACAAAAGAACATTTAAAAGGCATTTAAAAAATGTTTAAAAGACATTTAGAATATAACTTATAAAAAAGTTATTTGAGATGTCACAAATAGTGATTTTGCTGAATACCGAATATTTGGTTAGGCGCTTGGCCAAAGCACTGAATATTAGGTTGCCAAATATTTGCTGACACTTAGTTACTTTAATGGTCCGACCTGTTTCATTGAAGTGCATATGTTAACTACGTTGTGGATGTTTTTGTTTCATTTGTGACTAGTGTCACAGCACACATTATTTGTTGATTGTTACATCAATTTATTTTAATTATAGTTATATATAAAAGTATTATATTCTTCAAAACCTTCTAAAAGATTATAAAAATAATCACCTCAGGCATATCTTGCATTTCTGAGGTAATTTCAAAAGTTGCTATTAATATATATAGCACAAATAACTCCAAAGTTATTAAAAATTATATATTCACTACAACCTGAACTTAAATATTCGTAATAGTTTAATTTTAATGGAAAGAAATAACAATTATACAGTTGCGTTTTTTATTGATGCACTTTCAAAAAACTAATTAGTTTTTTCTCCTAGAATTTGTTAAAATACAACAAGCAAAACATAAAAAAATTTTAAGAGAAAGATTTTTTTCTCAGTGAAAGGTTAGGTCAGTGAAAGATCTCTTTTCTGCAAAGATTGGTTGATCATTTTTATTTACATTTCTTTTTCTTACAAAGCTGAGATGAACCATCACTGGTGCTACTAGACACCAGTGAGATGGTTCATTGGTTCACCATCTCACTGGTGTCTAGTAGCACCAGTGATGGTTCATCTCAGCTTTGTAAGAAAAAGAAATGTAAATAAAAATGATCAAACCAATCTTTGCAGAAAATATGCACACATATGAAGATGTGGAAAAGAAAAGTTCAATTGCAAATAAAATTGGTTTTTAAATAAAACTGTTTGCTTAAACTGGACAGCAAACCTTGACAATTGGTGATCAGTAAACTCAAAACATAAAAAAAAACTCTAATTTTCTTATTATTTGTTCGTAGCAGAGTACACAGTAAGTTATTGTATAACTTATGATGTATGATATGTATAATTTATTAGGAAAAACACAGTCATTTGCTATTGTCAAAGGATGAAAATTTTTTTATCATAACTTACCACTAATAGATTTTAGGTATCAAATATGCTAATTATTTGTTAAAATAAAAAAAAAAAATTTGTATGTTATTATTTTTTTATGCATTTTTTTTTTTTTGTTACAATTTTGTAATCCGTATTTGACCAAATACCTAATAGTAGAAAAAGTAGCTGAATAGGCCGGATACTGAATAATCATTAAATATTTGTGGCATCTCTTATAATTACATATGTAATAGTTTGCATAGTTATTATTATATTAAGTTATTAATATAATTATATATTATTAATTTACATTTTATTTCAAGGTAAACACTACTTTGAAAAAAAGTCAAAAACAAGTTTGTGATTATGAAGAAAAAATACAAAAGCTAACAGTGGATTTTAAAAATATCCAGTATATAGAAGACAATATGGGGGATCGTACTTTAAAAAATACTCTTAACGATCTAGCAAAACAATTAGAGCTAATAAAGAAAGAAAAAGCTGAAGATTTGTCTGTTGAAAAACAAAGAGCTAATAAGGCTGAAGACATGCTTAAACTGAGGCAGCAGCTTGATGAGAAAAGAATTGCAGAGCTTGGTGCCTTATTTTTTTTGTCCTTTTTTTTTCTTTTATATTTTGTAATATTGTTTTACTTTTAAGTTGTTCAATAAGTAATTGTTTATTGTTATTATTATTTCTTTTTTAATATTTTAAAGTATATTTATATTGTTATTTAGTTATTGTAATTAATTTATGTAACTTAATTTGCTTTAAAAAACAAAGAGTAATTTTTAATTTTTAGAACTCAGAATATCTGAGCTGTCTGAAGCTGTAGGTAACTATGATCAAATACATCAACAGGATCAACAGATAATTTGCCAGCTTAGAGAGCGCTTAGAAACTTTAAATGACAAGAATCCGAGTTACCATAGTGATGAAAAAAAGATTATTGAACTAGAGGAGCAAATTGTGAGACTAAAAAGTTTGTTAAAATCATCAAGTGTGAAATCTCAAACAGGTACTTAAAAATTTTTTTGGTTTGTTTTTCAAAACTCTTAAATATTTCTTCTTTTACTTTTACTCTTTTTTTTCAAACAGATGTTTAAAAATATTCTCTTTCTAAAATTTTTTTTTTTATCATTCATAAAATAAAAGAGCTTCATTTTAAAATGATTTAGTTATAAAATGTATTTTTTTATGAAGATTAAATAGAAATTTTAGATATTGAAGATAATTTTAAAGAAGACACTAAACTTCTTTTATGCCAAACTGAGTATAAGCAGTTAAAGGATGAATTTGAACTTTATAAAAAAAAGCAAAGCCTTTCTTCTCATCCCTCTAAAGATAAAAACGATGAACTTTTGCAAAAAATTGTTGAATATAAAAAAAAAATAGATTATTTAGAAAGTAACAATGAACAATTAGTGTTGAAAAACAACCTAGAAGAAAAAGAACATTTGAGAATCGTTTCAACACTTCAAATTCAATTTACAAAGTTAGAAGAAGATTGTTTACAAAAAATTGAACAGTTAAAAGTGGAGCATTTAAAGAACATTGAGTTAATTGAAAATGAATTAAAAAAACAGCGCATCAGAACTTTAGATTTGCTTGCAGAGAAAGATATTGAAATAGATCGGTTACGTGAAAAGCAGTATGAAAATGAATATTTACTTCAGCAGACACCCAAGTCTCAAGAAGTTTTTAAGTTTCCTGAGTTTAAGGAAAAATCGGTTATTGATGAAATGCTGCAAAATTCACCAACAATGGTAATTACATTTTAATTTAATTTATTTTTTAGAAGATAAGTAAATATTGTTGAGATTTTATTAGAAGATAAGTAACACTAAATACTGTTGAGTTTTTTTTACCCTGTACATAAAACTTAATAAATTTATTTAGAAAATTGTTGTTTGTTAAAATTTTTCTATTTTCCATATATATATTTAATAGTTTCTTTTTTTGTATTTATATTTAGTTGTTACTTTTATTGTACTTAGGATCATCTTTCAAATTTTATTGAAATATCCACGAATAAAAGTTGTTTTCTTCCTCTTAATACAGAATAGTATATCTTCCTTTTTTTATGAAATTTTTTTTTCTTTACTGAATAAAATATTTAGTTGGTTATAATTTTTAGTTGGCTATAAGACAATATAATACAAAGTTAACATACATTCAGAAAAAAAAAAGTTGTATAAAATGTTATAAACAAATTATTCTTGCAGAACTTGGAACTGAAACTTTGAGGTGTGTTTTAAATGCGTTAACATATTAAGAGTTAACAGTCTTCAAGACTTTTATGACTTACAAAAATAAAATTATATTACCTGAAGAAAAGATTAAAAGTTATCACTTTTTAATATTATTCAATAAGTTAATGTTATATTTCAATAGTTTATTTATTGTAATTACTTGTTTTTTTTAGTGGATAAGTTTTTAAAAATAATTCATTTTTATGTTTTTTTCTCAAATTTAAGCATAGGTTTATTTAATTCTTTATCTAATTCAATTAGATGAGTTAATATATTTAATTCAGTTATGAGTTAATACAAATTACTTTTCAAATGTCTGTTGTTCAAACGCTTTTTTACTTGAAATTTTAGGATGATTATTATTTTATTTAAGTTTAAAATTATAATTTATTTTATTAGTTAAAACCATTTATTTAAATAAGAAAGTCTATTAAGTTTAATCTTGGTAAAGTCATTCTAAACACATGTGTAGAGAAAACATGTTAATTAAACAAATGTGGAGAAGAAACATTAATTAAAAAACATTAAATATTTTTTAAATTTGATACAAGTTAAGATTTTCATAAAATCCATTCAAATTAAGAAATGCGACAGTATTACACAAGCAAACTCAAAACAAGTCATAATGCCTAACAGAACTGTTATTGAAAAATGAAGAGTTTAAGTCTAGCAGCTTTTAAGCAAATGGTTCAGATGAAGTAACTTTAATTTGGTGTAAAACTTGCCAATAATATTCAGAACTTTTGAAAAATTGTCACAATAAAAATAAAGGCTGCATTTAATTAACAACAGAAATGTTTGAATGCAAAACACCATTCATAAAAAAAAATTACTTTTCAGACCATATATGTTCTCATATGCATGAAGCAGCTGGCTTAAGAATGAGTAAAACCAAGGACTTATTAATAGATGTTTAACACATTGTTATAGATCAAAGGCACTGCCAATTACTGAAATTCTGTGTTGCTTATAATTTTTAGTGTTATTTTTTGAAATAATTTTACAAAATAGTTTAACATTTAAGCAACATTTTTGCTTTGCTAAGTTCTTTCAGTAAACATTTTATTACCTGTAAAACACTAACTTTTGAGAAATATAAATGCGTTTTACACAATAATATTAAAAATTGTATGAATAGGAGAAAACTTTTTTTTTTTGATTTTCGACTTCTTCAACTCTCCATGATTGTTTAAAAGGTAGCATGTTAATTTTAAAGATGTATTAAGTTTATACATAGTATAAACTTAATACATACATAGTAACTAACATAATAACTATGTATTAAGTTTATTCATTAATTAAACTTAATACATACATAGTATAACTATGTATTAAGTTTATACAAATAAGTTTATAAATAAGTGATAAAATCTGTTTTTCTTGTGCACAGCTAGTATTTATTTGAACTAACATCAGGTCATTTAAAAAAATTAACACTTTAGAATTTGTGTTCTAGGTTTTTATATTCTGTTAATAGCAAAATGGTTTGATCAAGGAGATATAATAGGCTAACTGGAGGGAAAACCAAGCCAAAAACCGTGTATAATTGTGGTACAGTCTTATTAGTATAATAATTCCAGAAGCAACTCAAAATGGCACCTTTGCCGAGAAAAAGGGAAATTTTAAAATCTAGCTTGTAACCTTTGAAAGCTGTAATTGAAGTTGATTAATCTCTTAAAAATTGACTGGTTAAGTTTTAAACATCTGTTTGAATCTCAACTACTTATTTGAAAATTATCTTTTGCTTTCCCCTTTAGCTATAGGTTTGTTATATTCTTAAAGAATAATTTTTTTTGGCAAGGATTTTACTATATTTCTCCAGGATTTTACTTTGTTTTGTAGTATTTTTTCTGGATTTTTTCTGGATTGGACAAATTGCTATATTTTAGATATACAGGACTTTATGAACCTTACTCTAAGCTTTTAGTGAAGACCTCATTGTGCAAATATCATTATAAAGTTTTTTTTTTTTTTTTTTAAAGTCACCAACAAAACGTGCAACAATGGTTCATTATACAGAGCTTTTGGAACAGCAAAGGATTGACCTATCATCTTACAGAGCTCAACTTGAAGATGTAAAAAATGCTTTAAAAGATTCTGAGCGAAGGTTATTTTATTTTTTCAATTTTCCTACTTTATTTTGAACATTTTAATTTTTGTTAGATTTAATTAGTTTTTATTTTACTGATTTTGATTGTTCCTATGACTTTGACTATCAGTATTTTTTTTAAAGAGAAGACCAGTTAGTTCAGCAGATGCATTTGTTAAAAGAAGAGATAAGATCTCTGGAAAGAAGCAGGTATGTTGCTTTAGATATAACTATACATTAGAAATTGTTTATATCTTAGGCTAAGTAGATGTTGTAATTTTTTACAATTTAATTGACCGTTAAATAATGAAAGACAAATAAAAAATTTTATATACTAACTTATATACTATAATCAGCTAGTTTTAGTTTATTATAATTATCTTAATCTATTAGTTAACTTTGATAATAATCAAAGTTAGCTAATTATTAATTAGGATAATTATCATAATAAGCTAGTTATTATGATTATGATAATTTACTAGTTATTATATTTAGATAAAGATTATTAAGATTATTATTAGTTTTGGAGTTAATTAAAATTAATTATAATTATTTTGGTAGAAATTTAATTTAATAAGAAGTTAAATATTGTTCATATTATTAATTATGTTTAAAAAGTGTGTATTTAAAAAATATTATTACAGATCACGAGAATCGGCTAATCTAGAGTACTTGAAAAATATTTGTTTGCAGTATATGTTAAGTGATTGTCCATCAAAGAGAAAACAAATGGCACGTGCTATAGCAACTATACTTTACTTTAGTCCAAGCGAGGTGATTCTAATATTCTAATTTTTTACCTTTGTTTTTTAAGACTTAAATAAAAACTTTAACAAATTTTTTTATTTTAGATTGCCACAATAGATACTCAGTTAAAAAATGGATGGTAGAATTTGATTTACAAAAAATGAATGATAAAATTTGGTTTGCAAAAAATGGATGGTAAAATTTGGTTCGAAATCAACTCATTAATTGATTTTTATAATTAAATTATTTATTTTTTTGGTTCTTTTTGACGACAATATAAAATAAAAACTATTTTTGTTTTCTATTTTTATTCAAATATACAGTGTATTTATAATTTTAGACTATTAAACAAATTGCAAGTTCATTTGTTATTTACATTGCTTTAGACCATGAAAGTTTTTAAGTTTTTGATAATTTTAAAGATTTTACAAATATATATCTTTTGTTTTTTATTCTTAACAAAAAAAAAAAAATTTATTCAGAACATATTTGTTTACATTCATTTCATGTTTTAATATAACATCATTATAAAACATTATTGGTTAAATGTTATAATATATACAAATATAATATAATATATACAAATAGTAAATGTATATTATTTGATTAATGAAATAATTAATTTTAAAAAAGTACAAACATGTTAATGATAAAAACAAACATGTAAAAACAAAAAAAAACTTAAAAATATTTAATTGTACAACAGAAGAAAAGCTACTTTTAAAAGAAGGTAATTTCATTTGAAACATCGAATTTATTTCAAAAATGTAGCTTGAAAGTCTCAAATTTTTGCTGCCCAAAAACTCCAAATGCAAAACCAATCTCAAACTTTGCAGATTTTTACGTCACTTTTGTTGAAGATTTAAATAAAATATTCAACAAAAATATCACTGAACTGGAAGCGGTAAAGGTATATACTTTTAATTACCGGTAAAATATATGTTTTTAAAATTGGTTGGAGTTTAATTCATAAACAAAGTTCAGCCATTTTAAATTTATTTAAAAAATTCTGTCATTTTAAAAAATGGGTTGATCATTATTAATGATTTCTAGAAGAAAATTTTTCACCATGCTAATCAGATGCATCACACATTTATTCATCCAAACTTCACAAAAGTGAATTTTGGATGACATATTGCAGCATAGGTTTTCCTAGTTCATCATATTCATGATTAGAGGTTCAAAATTTATAGCTGTTAATCAAAGAGGAGTGTAATTTTTTTTTTTTTTATTAGTTTAGTTCACCTCCTGAAAGCCGAGAAGGCCACTACAGACGAGGAGGCTACTTATTTGTGGTTATAACCCTCTCTCAACTCTATAACTCCGAAACACGAACCTTGATGAACAAGGCCGCTGCGCGAAGAAACGAGTTGAGCGCGGTACTACTAGGGATGTGGTGGGGATCGAATTCGGAACCACTCATTTATGAAGCGAGCGCTCTACCACTACACCACTACCGCCTAATTTATTAGAGCTTTATTTGTTGAATAAAAAGACATTTTTATTCAACAATTATTTTTTGTCCATAACTAATTGAATAAAACTATCTTAATATTTTTTGATTAAAATCTGTTACCATCTGTTACTTTCACAGAACTCAAAATACCCTAAAAACTTTGGGGAAATTTGTTATTAAAAAGTTCAGAGCATAACAATCTTTATCAAGTTTTTTTTACAAACTGTTTGATAGCAACATTCTTTAATCCAACAGTAAAGCAATCTTGCTTAGGTAAACTTTTTTTTTGTAATGGCTGTGACTTGCTTGCGGATCCCTAAGGCAAAGAAAAGTAGAACTTAGTATATACTGCTTGTAGTCCAGTTAAGATTGCAACTACTTTTGAATAACCACATACCATCAACTGATGTGTTTGTGCATATTTAATAATCATGGTTTCAGGCATGATCATTGAATATGCAACAGGCACCGATGGTAACTTATTACCAATAAGTAACAATACAAATTCAACACTCTTTTTTGAGGCATAAATAAAATGATTCCATATAAGAGTGTTTCTGTTCAATGAGTTGAAATAAACTGTCAATGTCACAGCAATAACAAATTTTCAATTTGAAAAAATGACATTTTGTAAACATTTGCAATAAAGTGATATTCTAATGCCTTTTTGTTACAACTAAAATGATCTTTTTGTAACAAGTAAAATGATCTTTTAATCTTGATGCTGGTAGTTTGCTATAATATTTTGTCAAATCAAGTTTCAAAACAGTTGAGGTCTAAAAAACTAAAAAAAATTTACTATAAAAAATAATTGAATTAATAATTACAGCTTATATGGTTTAATTTGCATCTTTACAATCTATGAAACATTTGCACTTTTACAATCTTTGAAACTATATTAGGCTGAATAAAAAAATTTGTTTGAATTGATGTGATATTTTTTTTATGCCTTATTTATGAAGATATTTACTGGGAAAAAAAAAATATTTAAAAAATAAATTTATTTAGGTTATTTAGGAAACAAATTTGTTAGGAGAATGTTAAAAAAATAATTAAAAATCAATATGAATAAATAAAATAGTATGAATGAAATATAATAAAAACTAGATTAACTCAAAAAATCTTCTTGTTTTTATTTTGTTCACATGTTTAAATGATTTTAAAAGTGTTTTAACTAATTAAAAAAAAGATTGAACAAATTTTTGGTAACTAATTGTTGACATAATTGTTTTTTTTTTAAAGTAACATCAAACATGGCAATAAAAAACAAAATTATTGGATTAAAATAAATTTTTAATGAAAACTCTAATACTATTTTAAAAATAAAAATAACAACTTTAAAACATCAACATTAGTATAATTTTTAGGCCTCTGAATGCATGAAGAATTTTTTTTTACTCCAAACGAAATAAAATTAATCATTTAACACATTTTGTATATGTATGTTGCTTCTTTTTTACAGTATATTCACCACATTATATTCATGCCTTACAATGTAAGGCATTTGCCTTACATTGTAAAATGTGGGACAATTAAATATGCTAAGTATAATTGAGTGGTAACAACAAATGAGAAACTTGCAAATGTTTACACAAAAATATAAAAAGTTTCAAGTGTTAATGAATTAAATATTGATAATTTTGTTGATGCACTAACTTCATTTAGTTGCCCTAATAATAAAGAAAAGTTAAATAGCTGAGAAGAAAGTATTAGTAAAGAGTAGTTAAATAGTGTTGTCTCAAATGGAAAAAAAAAATCTATTTTTTCCATTAATAAACTCTTTTTGCATTAATCCAAAAAATAGTTAACACTTAACTGTTCAAAAGTTTCATTGAAAAGTTAAAGTATTTTAAGTTCATCTCTCGCTACAAATAAGAAATAAATAACAAAATATCAAATTAGGAACATATTTATATGATTATTGCACACAAAACAAAAACAAGAACTAAAATCATTTTAAAATGGCAGAGTGTTGTGGGTAGGACTAAGTTAAAATATTTGTAAAATATTTCAGTACTGATTGAAGTTGGACCATGAGATTTTTATGTTTATCTTTTATTGAAATCTTCAAGTAGTGTAAAAGTTAGCAAAATCTGAGATGTTGGTTTACATGCCCTGGATGTTTTTAATTGACCAATTACAAATTGAAACCTTTTCTCACAACTTTTTTACTCACAATTTTGTAACAAGTAATACTAAAAAACAAAATGATTTTTTTTTAACAGGAAAAATTTATTTTAGAAAGGAAAAATGTATTGATTATTTATGTAGCTATAGTTATTAAATTATTTTAATTTAATTATTTAAATAATAATTAAATTATATTATCGAATTATTGGTTGAATAATGTTTTAAGAGCATGAAGGGACAGATACAGTAAAGGGATGTTACTTTGCTGAATAACAAGTCAAACAAAAATGAGTTTTGGTACATGAAACTAGAAACGATAACCGTTTAAGCAGCAACCATGATAGTATTAGTAGAAAAGAGAAAGAGATGCAACTTTATGACAATGGAAGAGAGGCTTAAGCTTTGCTGATAGAGTATGTCGGACTACATTTACAATATGTTTTT